AAAGTGTATTAAACCAAAATGTTTCTATTGGTAAGTAAAGGCTGGTAATGTGCTTTGTGCATGTTGAGGGCTGCCAAGTGGGCAAAAAACAACAACAAAGAACTGTGTTTGGTTTCATAACCGTTCCCCTCTATTCAATACTGTATAGCCATCATTCTGTAAACTGCATGTACATGGATATTGTAAGGTTAAGTCTGCATATGAGCTAAGTGGCCCATCAGGCCAGAGTTTATCCCGGTTGAAGTGACTAGGAGTATAATTTCTACTCCTCCCTTGGATAGGATGCTAGTCCATTGCAGGGTTACCCTCAGCATTACAAGTAAGTTCCTAAGTACCCATTTATAACACCTGGGTGGAGAGAGGCCCTGTGAGAGTAAAGTGTCTGGCCAAAGAACACAATGTCCTCAGCCAGGGCTCAAAGCTGGACCGCTCGATCCCGAGATAAGCACACTAACCTTGAGGCTACCACACCTTCCAAACATGTGTATTGTACATGACAGTTTCTTCAATCTATAATAGGCCCTTTGCAGCCTAGCCATCACGTGACCTACTTTTCATAAAATTATGGACTATAACGTAACGAATGCTCGAAATTGAAAAAGCATGTCAAAAGTATCAAAATAGCCAAGTTTGAGGTCCCCATCATTGAAGAATGAGATTTCATGACGGTCCGAATTTTTGAAAAAAATAAGAAGATTTGTATGGAAAAAGTTGTTGGAGAGTAAGGCCTTGCTCCCTAGCAACATTTTCTATACAAATCCTCTAACTTTTCTGAAAATTCAGAGTGTTGTATAAACTTACTCTTTAACTCCAGGGGCCTCGAACTTGCCCATTTTGGTATTTTCGATGCACTCTTTCCATTTCTGGCATTCTTTAAGTTATAGCCAATATTAGACAAATTTGGTCACGTGACCCCAGCTGCAAGGGCCTATTTGCAGATCTGTAACCACCTTTAGTTATTAGTTAATATGTAACTTTTTGTTTTCAATTGTTTACATAACAAAAAGATGGGATTTATAATAAACCGTCAGTGTATACAAGATTTTGTAGTTACCCAGGCCTTAGAACTGCCAGTGACCTCAAGAGTTTTAGTAATCAATCTGAGCATTCCTACAGGAGAGAGGGAAGCAAACTCAGAGAGAACTTCTGTTAACACTGTTGCAAAGCCTTGTCTTGCTCCTTTCCTTGAAGAAGCTAAGCCTTTCACAAGTCGCATCACGCTATATTCCAACTCATCACAGCTAGAATCCTCTTCAACCTCAATGCTGTTCTCGTCAATCTTTGAATCATAAATAGTTAACTGTTAAATGGGGCTAAATGCAAATACAAATACATGCAATGCAAATGCAAATACATGTAGGACCTGGCTTCACCAGCCTTTCAGGCATCTCCCCTACACTCATCTATTGTTGGGGATCAAGTGAGACAACAAAATTGGCAGAAAAAACCACCGGGAGCCAGGACAGCTTACATATCAAAAACAGCCCAATATGATCCACCACTACCCTCTGTTGGAGAACTAAATTGCATATTGAACGGATCTATTAGTTTGTAGCTTATAAACAACTCAAATTAAGGCCACGTTTTAATCAAATTGAGACATGAACATAACCAAAGAAATGTTTGTAGACAATTATCTTCCCTATATATAAAGGATGGTGTTCCTATGTTTTCTAAGAAAATAAATTAATTTGCACTTTTCAGGTCTAGAAAATTAGATGAACACACTCGCGTTCCGCTCACGTGTCCATTAGCAGTTTTTCTAGACCGCAAGCTCGCATTATTTACTGCATGGTTTGGTAAATACACAAGTTACATGCCAGGGTTCTTTGCTCGTTGATTTTTATATACTTCGATCGGGATAGAAAGGCCTGTACTGTGTATTCTTATCTATATCTAACTACAGCTTTATGATCCAGCTATACATGGAACTATGTTATATCGAAAGAAAACCCACATGTAAGCTTATATGTAAAACGTAAGTTTTAAACATGTAAGACTAAAGTTACTTTACCTTTCGTCTCTCGTCATGTTGTTTTTGAGCTTGGTTCAGAGCATGCAACAACTGCGACGCTGCTTTTAAGCGAGTTTTTTCGTCAATAGAAGCAAGCTCCCAGAAATGGGACAGGATATTCTCTGAAGGCATCTTTTAAATTTGAAAAAAAGTCAAGTAAACATAGTAAACAGTACATTCAATTCACGCACGTGGAAAGAGCGCCATATTAGATTTGACCGAGAAAGTCCTGGGACGAAAAAAAAAACCCTCACTGACACAGCAATCACAGGCAGTAAGCGGGATGTATGCGTAGCGCATCTTTTAATGATGAACATTCACTGACAACTGCACGTGCTCATTCTATTTCCGGATGGTGAAAGAGAAAGAGACTATTGCAACGAAGAGAAGCTGCAAAAAGAGCAAACTGCTGCAGTAGTCGTTGCTAGATTTAATCATGCTTACTTCTAGGGTCATTACGAGACTTGCTGGTGTTCCTTTCCAGGTAAAAGAAGTTCTAAATTTGTATTTGAACTTATAAGCTAGCCTTTAGGGAAATACTAAATTTAATTTTCGCCTTGATTTACCAGTGTGAATGATTGATTAACTGGATTTAATGTGTCTTAATTTCAGTGTTTCTTACTTTGGTATTTCTTTGATAGCAGCACAAATTTACCGATATGTTATGGAACAGAAGTTAGAGCACAATTACCCCTGCTATACAAGAAGAGCCCCTGTTACATAACTTAGTTTGTTGTTGT